AGAAAGTGTTGTTAACATCGAACTGAAAGAGATTCCATCCTGTTATGGCTGCAAGTGCTAACAAGGTTCAAAATGTGACTAACTTGGCAACTGATAAGAATTTCTCGTGGTTATCAAGTCCCTATTTTTGCTTGTATCCCTTAGCTACTAGCCTTGCTTTAAACCTTTCTATGCTGCCATCTGCCTTATATTTTACTTTGTAGATCCACATGCATCCTATTGCCTCCTTACCAGGAAGAAGATTAACTAAGACCCAAGTGTTATTGAGTACATGAGCTTTAATTTCATCTTTCATGGCCCTACACCATTCTTGTGAGTCTTTGGCTTCCTGGTAACTCTTACGCTCATTTTGAGAAGTGACCGAAACAGCAAATGTTTTGTATGAATTTGATAATTTTTCATATGAAAGGTAGTCATTGAGAGGATAGTAATTACTTGATTCCTTCAGCTTGTTGGACTCTTGGAATGGATGAAATGCAGTGGCCTGATGACATATGAAGCCTTGGAGATGTGCTGGTGCTTTTCTTATTCTTGTTGACTTTCGAGGTAGATAATTGGGAGTGATACCTGATGAAGGTTCAGAGTTACCAAGATCAAAAAGTATCAAGATCAGTTATAGCCATAGGTTCATCATTGGAATTCTATTCAGACTCTTCCATATGTTGGATGACTAAGGAGTTTATCTCTATTGAGTCATTTGATTTTGCTGTAAAATCTTTATTTTGAGGAATGAAATCTCGAACAGAATTGGTATTGGTTTGTTGTGGTTTAGTGGATTCATCTTTGGTTGGAAAAGCATTTTCATTGAACAAAACATTTCTTGAGATAAAGATCTTTTTGGTTTCAAGATCCAACATCATGTATCCTTTGATTCTAAAAGGGCAACCTATGAACGCACATTTTTTAGCTCTAAGGTCGAATTTGTGTCTCCCATTAACAGTGGTAGCGGCAAAGGCAAGACAACCGAAAATTTTTAAATGTCTATATGAAGGTTTTTTGTTGAATAGAACTTGACAGGGACTCTTTCCTTCCAGGACAGAGGAGAGAATCCTATTGATCAGGTGTAATGTAGTTAAGATGCAATGGTTCCAGGAATTCCACTTTGGAATTTGAGGGCCCTGGCTGTATTGAGGATATGTTGGTGCTTTCTTTCCACCACGACATTTTGTTGAGGAGTTTTAACACAAGTTTTATGGTGAATAATGCCTTTTTTGAGATAGAATTCTCTCATATTAAATTTCACCCGTTATCCGTCCTAATTATCTTTACTTCGGTGTCAAGTTGCCTTTCAGCCATGACATAAAAATTTTGCAGTGCAGCAGTAGCATCAGACTTCAGTTTTAAAGTGTATACCCAGGTGCACCTACTAAAATCATCTACGATGGTCAGAAAGTATCTAGAACCATCACTCCCAATCTCATTGCAGGGCCCCCAAATGTCACAATTTAAAAGTTCAAAACACTTTCAGATTTGTGAGTGATGGTGGGAATGGCAATTTGGGTAACTTAGATAATGGACATATAGAACATGGTTTTTTATTAACAATTTTTGAGAATTGAACATCACCAGCAATATCCCGAACAGAATACGAAGTATGTCCTAATCTATAATGCCAAACATCAAAATCACTAGTGACAGCTGAAACAGAAGCAGGGATTATGATCTTTCTGTTTAGTTTATTTTGGAAATCAGTTTAAGGCTAAGGTAGGAAGGTCTCCAAGCTTCATATGGTATAATCATTCCTTCATTTCACCCATGCCAATCGTCCTGAATATAGCAACAATTGGGAAAAAAAAAATCAGACAACAATTTAAGGTTTGAGTTAATTTCCTTGCAGAGATAAGGTTGAATGAGAAATTAGGTAGACATAGAACATCTTGTAGTATTAAAGTGTCTGATATTTTTACGGTCCCTATGTGAGTGACAGGAACCGTGTCACCATTAGGCAAGGAAATGGAATGATTAACTTTATCACGAATAGATGAAAATGAAGAGGCTGAACAAATCATGTGATCTGTTGTCCATGTATCTATGATCCATGGTACTTTTGTAATGTTCATGTATTTTGATTTGGCACAAAGAGAAATACCAGACAATTGGTGTATGTTTTCATAGTGGAAGTAAAAACACTCTTAGTATTGTTAGCTGAATGAATTTGGTTCTTGGAAGTGCCAACAAGTTTGAGGAGTGCCATGAATTGTGAAATTTGCTCTTGAGTTAATTCCACTTGGGTTTTGTTCCCTTCAACCTGGCGTGAGCACATGAGGATGTGATGGCAAGATTTGCTGAACTCATTTCCTTCACATTTAGCTTGTGGCTTGGGGGATAGCCATGAAGTTTAAAGCATTCTCCATCAAATGACCAGGCATTTGGCAATAGCTGCAAACAGGTTTGTTTGGGTTGGCTTTGAAGCACCTGTCAAGAGAGTGTCCTGCCATTTTACAGAAGGTAAGATAGCATCTCTCCCTCTTTGGTGCATAAAGACTCTGTCTCCCCCCTTTCTTTAAAATTTCCCTTTGTGAAAGAGCCATTGATTCATTGACAGAACCTTCAGTTGAAATTTCCCTTCTCTTTTCATCCTGTTGCATTATTGAATAGACTTCATTGAGGCTAGGAAAATGTTTAATTAACAGAACATGTGCCTTAATTTCTTTATATGAGTCACTTAACCCCATCAAGAACTTCATTACACAATCTCTTTGTTGATTGAGAGCCATAATCTCTACACTCCCACAGCTGCAATTGGAGATAGCTTCATAGTTCATGAGTTCATCTAGGAGAGTTTTGAATTTTGAAAAATAAGTGCTCACAGCATCTTGGCCTTGCTGCAGCGTAGTTATGGCTTGCTTGACTTCAAAAATTCGAGGTACATTTCGTTGAGCAAATCGTTGCTTAAGTTCTGTCCATAGCTGTTGGGCGGTTTCAGCATAGGTCGTACTACACTTAATGTAGACTACCATGGTGTTTTGCATCCATGTAATCACCAAATTGTTGCACCTAAGCCAATGTTCCATGAGAGGATCACTAGGATCTGCTGGTTCCTTTAGACCGCCATCAATAAAACCCAACTTATTCTTAATCCTTAATGCCCTTTTCATTGACCTTGCCAAGAATGGTAGTTGTTAGATTCCAAGGTGTGAGTAACAAGCAATGCTCCAGTATGATTGTTGCTCCCAATAAAAAAAAGGACTATTTGGCTGTGATGGATCATGAATCACAGTGTTTGATGAGCTGCCCGATAGATTGAGAATTGTATTTGGATTTGGATTGTATTTGGATTTGGATTTTGAGTTTGTGTATTGTCAGCATTAGATTCTTCCATGCCAGGCTCTGGTACCATTTCAAGTATGTAAAATATGAAGCAAGAATTTGATAAAGCAAGAATTGTGAGAGAAAGATAATTGTATTAAACTTGTTTGATTGTTGATGCACAATATCACCAGACTATATACACAGTATTTACACAATTCTAGAAGGATTATTCACATGGAAATAAACGGATTTTACAACAAATAGCTAACAAAATTCCTAACAATCTTCTTCTAGAGTCTTCTCCATTCAGTTAGCTTGTGGTCCTGCCTAGCCGTTATTTGTCTGCCTGCTGACTCCTTCCACCTGGCTGCTGACTCACTTCTTGCTGGCTGCCTTGTTTCAGCATCTTGATTATTTTCTAATACAAAGAGAAGCACTTAGTTCTGTCTTCACATCAAATGCTATCTACCATAAAAATCTAATTTCTTCATGAAAATGCAGGCTTATATCTCAATTTGGCACACATAAGAAGGTGAATAGGAACTGAAAAAATTGACCTCGAGTTTTTAATTCTACAGTCTACCAATTTCTAAGGTAATATTTTGCATAAAATATAAATTGAAAGAAATGATAAAGGTAAGTTGAAGATAATGATCTTAGTGGGTTGACAAAATAGAAAGCCGTTGAAATCTAGTTTGAGGTATAGGCATGTGCAGATTTATCCACCTCCTTTACAAAATGCCTGTTCTAAAAGCATCTCACCCATCAAACACATACTAATCCAGCACGAAGCATCAATTGGCATTTGACTGATTTTATCTTCTGCAAGAGTGCAAACTTCACATTAACGTCAGACTCAGCTGCACAAGGCCCTCAAGGCCATATTTCGGTAACAGATTTTGCTGACAATCTTCTCATCGTTTCTTACAGCTCCAGAAACAAAATTAGGATTTCTAAGAAAAAAATGATAATTAAAATGAAACAAAAGGTGCAAATCACTACTTCCTATATATAAGTTCACATAAAGTCATGAACCAAAGCCAAGCAAATTTTATTATGATTTTTACTTAGAATTTGTAGAGAAACCTACGAATGTGATTAGATATAAACTAGGATTTCGATTCTCAATTGACAATTGTACTGTCCTATTGTGAAGCTTATGACCATTTACTATTTATATGACTTGAATTAATAGAATCATAATGAACAACCAACGACCTAACTTCATTATCAATGCAACCAAGTGTTTCAAAAAACATAAATTTCTACTTTCCAGAAAAGAATATTCAACATTTCCTTGACCAAAAGAATTCTTATAAATTTATAGCCTGTCTATCTAAATAGACCTAACAAATAATTCCACATTCTAATGACTACCATTCCTACAAAATTCCTAAGATTTGCAACATACTTAGAATATTGTAAAACTCAAGCAACCATTATCTCCGAACACGATACTCATTAGCTAAATTGATATTCATAAAATACATAGACCACAGCATTTACCACAATCTGCAATCAAGTAAGGAAAGAAGCTTATGTAAGTTTTACTAAAACACAATTCTTGTAATGCGGGAAAGACAAAGCGTTCATTTCATTCATTGAGCAATCCAAAGCACAAATGCAAAAACAAAATCAAAGCCTGATCATAACACTGAAACATAAACAAGATTTTCTATTTGTTGTAAATTATGTCATCCAATATTCCAATTTAAATAAGATAACACTATGCTATAGCTCCTTCTCATCTATGGCACAACATCAAGCCTCGCCTCGAATACAAATCCACGACAAAGGCCATCTCCATTCCCAGATAAACCATCAATCCACCTCCAATCGGAAAAGGGGAGGAGCGAAAGAAGGGTTAGAACCAACCTTCCAACCCTTTTCGCTGAAAAACAAACCTTGTTCCCACCACCAAACACCTTAAATTTACTACTCTCCATGAAACGCCTATACATTTCCATGGGCATTCGCCCAACTTCCTCCCACACCAAGCTCTCCAGGTCCAGCCTCAATATCAAGATGGTTGCGCACGAGCTTTGGAGAGCAAACGAGCTTTTTAACCCTCCAACCATGTAAACTTTCTTGTCATTCCTGGCCTTCACTAATCGCGGCCGCTTCAAAATGCCAAAGATGTCGCCCCACTGCTTTTTCTCCACCCGCACCCACTGCTTCGTTTTCTCCATATCTGTGATTTTCGTCTTAAATATAGCCCACTGTGACCTCCACGGCGACCCGACATCACACAATGCCAAAATAGAATCGGATACCATAACAGGGCTCCGAGGCTTTGATGGTAAGTTCGAGGTAAACTTAAGCCAATTACTCGAGACACCACCACAATTCACATCCCCATTTTTAAAGTCATTACTTTCAGAATAATACAGAACGGCAAGCTCTGTAAGAACAAAGACTGTACCCGAACCAGCTAAAACAGAGCCGTGGCGAGACCAAGCCGAACCGAGCTGCGGGAGGATTTTGAACTGGCGAGTCAGAGGGTTACAAGCCACAAGGGACTTTTGGGAAGAATTCTTCACATGGGCAGTATTAGAATTTCGCAAAGGGGGTAGAGCAGCCCAGAGATACAGTAGCCCATCTGAGGAAGTAATTGGATGGAGAGAAGAAAACGGAAGGAAAGAGAGAGAGAATCTGAGCCACTGATTCAACGCAGGGTCAAAGGCATGGAGGTTGGGAAAGGGGGAAATGTGGCGATCGGACGGCTTGAGGGCGAGGAGGCAGAGGGAGGTAGATTGGGTGGACAGAAGGTCGCGAAATGACGGTGAGGAGAGGGCGGAGGAGAGGGCTTTGCAGACACACTTGCAGGCGGCGATTTGACGGAGGGGTAGTTGGAAAAAGATCTGGTGGATGGTTTCTTCCGGCAGACGATTGAGAGGAGAGGATTCCATCGGATCTTTGGCCGGCGGCAGTGGACGGAGAATCTAAAGGTCTACTGGTTCGTAGATAGAGAGAGAGCTGTCGACGACCTCAATCGTGATCCAGACCGCAGTAACGCTTTTAAGTCTGGACCATATACGTTTTTAGTTGAACACTATAAAAATAAAAAAAGATGAAAGCGGCCTCCACCTATCCTCCCGTTGGGACATTTTGCAAAATGACCTATGAATAGTGGCTTTTTAAGTTTTTTGTTAAAAAGTCAGTTTTACCCTTAATGAAATGGGTCATTTATTGCAGATCAAGTCCTCAATCCTAATAATTTTTTCGAAATTAGTTTTATTCTTGTTTTTATTCATCATCACTAGACGTTTCTTCTAAATCTGATTTTTCTTCAAATATTTCTTCATTTACTTCTCTTTCTTCAATATCAACTTCTTCACATTCATC